TTTGAAACGGTCCCAACGAAAACTAATCGATATTATATGTCTAAATTATTTAACCAAACCTGTTTGAATGAAAATTTCCTACCTAAATATGCACAATATATATATATATATATATATATATATATATATATATATATATATATATATATATATATATATATATATATATAAATTAAATTATTGATGAAGCTTGCATATCTAATTCGACCAAACTTGCCAAATAAAAACATTTTAAACGCCAAAATAAAATAAAAGTAAAGACCAAACAAAAAATAGGTAAAAAAAAGGAAAGACAGGCCAGGAAAGACATACACCTCTTTACACGATAATCAAAAGTGCTCAATGCTTATTGCAAGACAGAGCAGTAGTCCTAACCAGCGAAATTTCACAAAGAGACTCGCTCCTAATCGCTATCCGCAGTTTCTCTTAACGTGATCGTCACACAACAAGAACCAACATCATAAGTCATAACTGCCTGTAAATTATTTGTCTTCCGATTTCTTTCGAATGCTGTTGGTCTACTGAGGTATTATTAACCCCTTTCTCGGCGTAGACGTGTATATAGTTTTGTTTTTTTTTAGCGAAAGTGTCTTTTTCAGACACGGACAAATAAACACGTCGAAAACCTAACTTCAAAAACCAGCTACATACGTTTTTATACGTCAATTGATTCTTTTTATGCCCTTCTGAGCATGAAACAACTCCAATTATCAACATATACGTCTAGTTGAGGTGTTAGCCACCGCTTGGGTACTTCAATGTGCCTCAGTTTCTTAGTTGATTTTTGTTATGTCCTTCTGAGCTTGAAATTAATACAATTGTTAACTCATACGTCTGGTAGAGGTGTTAGCCACCACCCAGGCACCTCAAGGTGCCTCAGTTTCTTAGTTACTATATTAAAAACAAATAAAAAAATTGTCTGAAAATGAAATGCTTTTCTCAAACTAATTGGTGTATCTAGATTGAAACTGTTATGGTAATTTACTCACGTACTCATGGACTCTTCCAGTTATAAATAGGAGCAGTTACTGCCTTTTGGAGATAGAAGTTTCCAGCAGTCAGCTCTGACAGTCGGACCGAATATTCTTGCTGTAACACTCTCGTTTGTATATGTTTGTATTACTGTTTCTGTTAATATATTTGTTTAACTCAATTCCTCTCTTTGTGTTTTTATTTCTGGCCCCCAAAAGGACACAACAGAAACAGGTTTTTATTTAGTGTTGTTTTCCTTTGACGTATAGGGCCTCTTAAATTTGTAACCGTTCTTTTTACAGGTGGATCGGCAGATTACCGTTGAACTGTAGTCTAAATTTTGACGTTAATTAGAAATGGTGCCGTAGATTTCTGCTATATATTTACCTATGGCGCTTTACCGAAGGAGGTTAGTCCTGAGTATGACGATAAACTACATCCGACAGCAAGGACTCTGGGTGGGAGAGGATCGTGGAACCACCTCTTAACTGCTGCGAAGATCTCCCAAGTGTTATTTACCTACCATCCCGGACTGTGCCAAATGAATTTGTGAATAAAGTGTCCATTATACTAAAAAAGGATTTATTTACTTTTTTCTCTACCCGTGGACAGGAGATTTTTTTTTCTTACCGAGGTGATATTTTTGCCGTTTGTCCCCCTGTGAAAGTCCACCAAGCTTTTTCTCATTTTTTTTCACGTCGACGCAAACGTGAATTGACACAAATACTATGGGATGAGGTTGTCGAGAAACTGCCCAGAGCGTTACGTTTTTCCCATGATGCCGCTCAAATCCAAGAGACACATAATTAGTGGGTCAGAGGTCACTTACTGAATTGTTATTACGAGACTTCTGATGGTCTGGTAAAACGGATAATCCGGCATCAGGGCCGGTGCAGTAGTCTCGTGCCCCCCCAATCTATGATGCAGCCCCCACCCCCACTCTACTACATCTCACTTTTCATAAGGTAGTAATCATATAAAATACAAATTTTATTGTAACCTAATTATGTACAATAATGGATCGTATGCAATATAGGTGAGCAGTTCAACTAGAAAAATTGAAAATAAATACAATGTATCTAAATACAAATTAGAGATATTTCATAACAGGTCATCCCCTCTTAAATAAATCAACAATGTTTTGCGTTAATTTTTAACAACAACATGAAATTTCTCTTGTTAAAAAGTTGAATAATTTTAACACATTCACTATTATGGATAAAAAATAGTGAATTTTATATAGTTTTTTTTAGGACTTAGCATGAGCAAAACAGATTCACGGATTTAGGCCCCCCCCAAAAAAAACAATGGCGTCAAAATCTGTGAAATTTGTTCATCCATTAATAGTCAGTTACGCTTAGTTTAATTTGTAACCTATATAAATATAGATAGAAAAAGCAAATGTGGATAAGACAGCGTAACTCACAAAGCATTACCCGGAGGCCCCAATCAGTCGGGGGGTTCAAGGTAGTACGCCCCGGCCCTGTCCGGTACGGTTTTGAAAATAAGGGATCTGAAAATCAAAGCTTGGCTGGGGGCTAAAAAGCTATGGGACAAACTTGAACAATTTGAGACATTCAAACGCGTTAATGAAGCCACCTTCCAGTGGGCAATCTTACAAAAATTGATGCGAAAAAGTTTCAACGTTATGCCCTTACTACAACCTGAAAGCGAATACTTTAATAACCAATGAGATATTCGGACGGGCTTTTCTCAATATGCCTAGAATTAGGAGCCTATTTAAGGTTAATAAAATGTAAATGTCCTGGAAAAAAAAGGACCGAGAAAAAAAATCTTCTTTTGAATTATTTCCCACCAATCAAAGAAACGGAATTTCAAACCTGTGATAATTTGAAATGGAAACTGAGTAAGGATTGCGACCTTAGATATAAATGAGACGCCTAAACTCGTGTCAATAGGATGGATAGTTACACACTTGAGGACAGTCATAACAATTAATATTTGCAGCTGTGAACAAGTAGAAGATTCCGAAACGCCAAGTAGGCAACTGAAAAGACTCGAAACAAACTGACCGAAATTAAAATCTAAAAAAAAAAATGTTCTGTGTGGATGAATTAGCCATGGTTAAATACAAAATAAGTAACAGAACTGCCCAACAAACAGAACTGACAAAGTTTGTAATAACACAAAAAAGAAAAGAACAGGGCAAAAAAATAATCTAAAGCAAGCAAACACTATATGCAAGGCAAATTTACAGTAATAAAACAAAGCAACAATAATATGGCAAAAAGTTCACAAACTAAGAATTGAGGTTGAGACACAAGAGAAAATTCAGATAAACGAACATAGTGTTCTGACTTCAAGACAAGACAGACTGGCACAGGGTCAGATGAAACCGAAAACCGGTTTATTTTATTGGCTGGAAAGAAATCCAAACATGCATTTATGTGCTTCTGTCTATAAATTGCGGAGGGGCAAGTGTTTTGAGGTCATTCCAGCGTGGTGTATACGAAATAAAAATCTCTCTTTTTCCCCACTGTTTTCAAATTCGTGAGCCTATGTGAAAATTTATTTTGACCAATAGAAAAAGGGATTGAATCAGGGCTGAAGAAAAAACCAAGGCAAAGTTTAACGAGCCTATGTGAAAATTTATTTTGACCAATAGAAAAAGGGATTGAATCCGGTCTGAAAAAAAAAACCAAGGCAAAGTTTAACGAGCGTTTTGTGAAAATTTATTTTAACCAACAGAAAAAGGGATTGAATCCGGACTGAAGAAAAAATCAAGGCAAAGTTTAACGAGCCTATGTGAAAATTTATTTTGACCAACAGAAAAAGGGATTAAATCCGGGCTGAAGAAAAAACCAAGGCAAAGTTTAACGAGCCTATGTGAAAATTTATTTTGACCAATAGAAAAAGGGATTGAATCCGGGCTGAAGAAAAAAACCAAGGCAAAGTTTAACGAGCCTATGTGAAAATTTATTTTGACCAATAGAAAAAGGGATTGAATCCGGGCTGAAGAAAAAAACCAAGGCAAAGTTTAACGAGCCTATGTGAAAATTTATTTTGACTAATGGAAAAGAGAGCGGCTTACAATCTGAGAAAAAAGTAACGAGACGATGTGAAATCGTTTTTGATATAAATAGGCTGAGAAAGTTGAATCAAGGCACAGAGAGAGAGAGAGAGAGAGAGAGAAAGAGAAAGAGAGAGAAAGAAAGAAAAGAGAGAGAGTGAGCGAGAGAAAGAAAGAAAAGAGAGAGAGATAGAGAGAAAAGCAGAAAGAAGCAGGAGTCAGAAAAGAAAAGTTCAGAGTTCCACGCGTCTGAATAACGCCAGTGTCAAATAACACTGATACATTATCAGCCTCTAATGAGAGCAAGGTAATTTCAAAGAACTCTATTCAAATCCAAAGCTATGTAACTTAAAATATATCTTTTCATTCATGTTGAATACAATCATATAACTTTTATGTAAAAACGAACTCTCTCAATTTGTTTTAAACATTTTGGAATATTACTTTGTGTCCGATGATTTAATGTGAACATTTTCTCTTCTTGACAATTCATCGAAACTACGAACTTTAAATATTTGATTCCTTTTCCTGAAACAAGCTAATGACAATTTCAAATGAGTAAAATTGTAAATAAATTTCTTGTTTCGTTAAATATAATACGTGTGTTCCCACGTCATTTTTCGTCAATACTTCACTAGCATAGATTGGAATCAACATTCTAGAAAAAGGAGACGCAAACCAAGCCTTTGTTACAAGCCTGCTACCAAAGTTCCTCATTCGATCTTCCTCATCTACGTTGACCTCGAGGTCAAGACTTCACAATTACGAGAGAACCTTTTCTGTATTCATTTTTTATTTATTTTATCAATGGTTAAGTGATCCTTACTCAACTTAATGTTTATTAGACGCCCAAAAGAATAGTCTGCGTGAGTTTTTAGAACCATTTTGCTTTCATTTAAATAATTTGTAAATAATCCAATTCTTTCTGTTCATTTTCAAATGACACCAACTGGCATTAATCTGGTTTAGGTAAGTCAAATATCTTTTGATTATTAAAATGACATTAAGCCAGATTAGTACTTTTCCATTGCCTTTCCTTATTCATTCAAAGACCTGCAAAGTTGAATGTATTACCAGTTAAGAATTCATTTAAGCCACTCCTTGGTATTAAATTAGCCGCTGCCATATTTTCACAACCTTGCTATGGAAATTAATCTCAAGCAATGTAAAGAGACGAAGAAAAACAGTTAAATATGAATTTTTTTTTTTTTTTTGGTTAGAGCCACTTACCCTCCTTACCATCATGAATGGACTGATCCATTCATGATAAGTAGTCCTGGGTTATTGTCTAGAAAGGAAAGAAGATAATACTATTGCAGTGACTTGTCTAGCTGAGTATTGAATGCTATTATAACGACTGAATCTGCTGACCACTGCTCCGACGTACTGTTTTCGCTAGTTCCCAAACTGTATGAATTTAAACGTGCTACTAGGTTAGCATCTCAGTCCCACCCTTTCACTGTCGAAACGGTTAAATATAGCCATCTCTTCTACTCCAATTGCTTCATGTCTTGCACTTCCCGTCTGTGGAACTCCCTTCCTCTTACTTGCTTCCATGATAGCTATAATCTCCAACTATTCAAATGCAATATCAGTCGACATCTCCAGATGCCTTGATATAATTCTCCGTTCTTCTCTTCATTCTTTCCTCTTTATTCTTGCTCCCACTTTCTGTAACCCCTTGCGTGCTAGTAGCACTCCCGCCTTGGGGTGCAAAGTTAAAAAAAAAAAAAAAAACTTTGAGCCCTTACCACCGCTTTACCGGTGGTAGAGAAAAATGACTTAATGCCTACTCACCGGTTAAACGGTGTGTAAACACATGTAACTATTTTTATATCTACCATGAAACATTACATACCAATATTTTGTGAATTTTGACACAGATGTTTAGGCAGATGGGTTAAAATTGTTCAGAAACGCAGCGCTCAAAGGGTTAAGGGTTCTGTCTTGGCAGACTTCACATCTCAATAGTTTTTTTTTATATGTCAAAGTTAAATAAGCAAAATTAAAACTTGAACAAGCACCGCTATTATTCAACTGTGTGATTTATTTAAATTTGTCCAGGTCCCTACAAAAATTCACTAAAACAGACGATATAGGATGAAAAAAACACAAAACAGAATAAAAATAAAATTTTCATCGATAAAACCTTTGTCTTCTTATTAAGAAGAAAGATTTTTTGTCTGTCTATATTTCTGGGATGAGGTATTATGTACACTATTTACATTGTTCGGTCTATCGTTCTCATCTTTGTTGCCATATTTATTACAACGTTTCGTCCGTTGTGCGCTCCGGCCTTCTTCAGGTGGTTGGAATGTCGAACTTAACCCCTTATTTCGCTCGCTGGGGTAGACTGTTCTAGTTCCACGTGCCATGTCTAATGGATGTCAGTTATCAGTTATCTCCTGTTAATTCCCCTCTCCAAGTTCTCCACTGCCTTAACCAGGTATTGAACTCACACTCTTAGTTAGATCCAGTGACAGGACCCAAAGAGTGTGAGTTCAATGTGCAGTACGAGCTCTGGTAAAAAAACGTAATGATAACAGCAAAAATTGCAATATGAGCTCTGGTAAAAAACATGCAATGATAACAGCAAAAATTGCAATATGAGCACTGGTAAAATTGGTTTGTGAAGACATTAGGTTTATAATACCCAGAAATTCATACACAGATCTCCCCAAGGACACATGGCACAGTGGATAAAGGCGTTAGATCCAGTGACAGGACCCAAAGAGTGTGAGGAAATTGTAAGACAAAACAGAAAAAGTGTGATGCGTTTCATCTGTTTGGACTTCATCAGGACTGGGTTTGTTGACGTTTGCATTCCATTTTGTCTTACAATTTCCTCAATACTATTTCTTGATTTATAAATATATATATCGTTATCTCGTATCATTTTATTATAAAAAATGTACTGTTGATATTTGTTTAGGGGTTTGACTATTTGACCATAGCTGGGACCCTAACAGATGCTACCACCCCGGGTCAGAGTGGACCTGGGAGCACCAGCAGTTAAGAGCTGGTTTCACATACCTCAAAATCTCCAATCTCCCAATCAGAGGCTTGGCTGTCGGATGTAGTTTATCGTCAAGCCCAGGACGTCAAACCTGGTAGTTTGTGCTCCCGGAAAAGGAGTAATCAATTCCTGGACAACTTACTTTTTCTAAAATAAGTCTTAATGTTAGTTGTGGGAAAAAAAGATCAACTTTATAATGAATATCAAATAAATAATATGAAATATCACAAGGAAAATGTAAGCATCTACAAAACAATGCAAATTACAAGGAAGAAGGTACAAGGAATTTCAATGAGATCGAACCCAATTAAAACGTATATTTACCTTGAAGGTATGAAATGGAAATGTTCTTAATGGATCTTGTCATTTGATGTGAATTGTCGAAATTCGTGACAGAATTTCTTCTTGCCTTTAGAGTTAAGAGTTTTCAACCTAGAGCGTTATTTTGAGATCAGTGCTTATTCTCTATTGTGGAAGGAAATATTTTGTTACATTAGTCGGGGTGATGATAAGACTTAATTCTGTCTTGAAAACGAGAATTTGGTTGTCAAGAATTCATTGAGGAGAGCTTTCGCGACTGCTTCTTTGAATCTACGCTCGTTTAGGTTTTCAGGTGTTTTTGAAGGAGTCGCCTCTTCCACTCCTATCTTCGCGTCTCCTACTCCTATCTTCGCGTCTCCTACTCCTCTCTTCGCGTCTTCCACTACTCTCTTCGCGTCTCCTACTCCTCTCTTCGCATCCCCTACTCCTCTCTTCGCGTCTTCCACTCCTCTCTTCGCGTCTCCCACTCCTCTCTTCGCGTCTCCTACTCCTCTCTTCGCGTCTCCTACTCCTCTCTTCGCGTCTTCCACTCCTCTCTTCGTGTCTTCCACTCCTCTCTTCGCGTCTCCCTCTCTCTTCGCGTCTTCCACTCCTCTCTTCGCGTCTTCCTCCTCTCTTCTCTCCCTCCCTGTCTTCGTCCCCTTCCTCCTCCCTCTCTCGCGTCTTCCACTCCTCTCTTCGCGTCTCCTACTCCTGTCTTCGCATCCCCTACTCCTCTCTTCGCGTCTCCTACTCCTCTCTTCGCGTCTCCCTCCTCTCTTCGCGTCTTCCACCCTCTTTTCGCGTCTCCTCTCCTCTCTTCGCGTCTCCTACTCCTCTCTTCGCGTCTTCCTCCTCTCTTCGCGTCTCCTACTCCTATCTTCGCGTCTTCCACTCCTCTTTTCGCGTCTCCTACTCCTCTCTTCGCGTCTCCTACTCCTCTCTTCGCGTCTTCCACTCCTCTCTTCGCGTCTTCCACTCCTCTCTTCGCGTCTCCTACTCCTCTCTTCGCGTCTCCTACTCCTCGCGTCGCGTCTTCTACTCGTCTTGATAATTGTATCGTAGGGATTTTTATAGTCAAAAGTCGGCTCCGATTTACCAGGAAATTTTCAGTGGTCAACACAAGAGTTTCAGATTTCAACAGGCTCGAGTAGCCATTGGTTAAAAATCCCGTTTATCAAAACAATTTATTGTATTAGAAAAACACTTCTGTTTTTCTTTTCATTTTTTTTTTAAACTTCAGTTGTTCCTCTCCTCTTTTGGTCGAGAAGCTTTGCACGCAGGGTGACAAGATACAGGTTTCAGTAAATTATTTTACTACTTTCATCCTTTACCCCCAAACTACCGCGAAACTCAAAGTGTAAATTTTTTTTAGCAATGCTCAGTTCTGAGTTATTTTTCTCCTATACTGGTTAACAACAAAAGCTAGGTCTATTGTATTTAAGCGACAGAATAACAATGGATACATATCTTTCCAATATGTATTTGTGTGAAAGCGAACGCATTAGAATTTGAAATCAGCATGTCATTACCATTAACCACTATGCTACGCGCATATCCATATTAATAAGTAAATTTTATTCTGAAGCAAACAGGATTGAATGACGTAGGTGTGCCCGAAAGACATCTACATATTTCAGAAACGTGGCATTGTGTGCAATTTAAACGCTAACAATATCTTTCTTTTATGACTGGTTAAGCGCTCACATCTTATTTGGTATTGAAACGTTTGCTTGACTGACCGCACCCCAAGTTGTTTTGGTGTTTAAACAAACGAATCTTGAATCAATTGTGTTATCAATAAAACAAACGGTAGACGTTTTTGAAAGTTTCACACGCTGGAAAATATTTTTATATCACTGTGACAATTAAAAACGGAATGATGGATTTTTTTCGATAACAAATTTAGTACCTTAACATGGAAAATCTTTATTTTTGTTTAAAGTAATTAATAATGCGTCATATTTCAGAAGTCCGGTTAAAAATGACGAGTTTATAAAAAGATACACACACGCGGAGTGGAGAATCCGTGCGCATGCGTACACGCACATAAACGTAGAGCGATATCCATATATATACACATTGATAAAAGGTAATAATTGTTTAGTTGTGGGATTACCTCACTGACTCTACCAGGGGACCTCTTTTAACGCCCGATAGTGGCATTGCATTCAGGAGTATAAAACGACATATTTTGAACAGAAGTAGAGGTTTATCCCTTGTTTCCTGTATAATGTTGGGTCTCAGGTTCCTTTTTGTTGTGGCCTGTTTAGGGGACAGAAAAAAAGACACGGAAGACGAAGGTAGTGTATTGAAGTAACAGATATATACAAAGTAGGAGTGTTAGTAATAAGCAGATAGAGGTGTCCGTCCGAACTGCCCACACGCACACACGGAAGTCTCGCAGGTTAGTATTTATGAAGGAGGAAGAGTTCATTCTACTCTAGGTAGGTTACTACAACACTTTTAAAGTCTACTTCCACACTCTACTTATAAAGTCTTCGCCTATAGCTTTGAATTTTTATTTACTATATATTTATTCTTTTTTTCAATAGGAGTAGATTGGTTTGCCTGTGTTGAGATGTTGTGAGTTTCCCGCGTGTCGGTGTATGAATCAAGACAAACACAGTTGTAGAGGAAAATACTGGTATATTCATAAACGCAATTAACAATAGAGTGATTAGTAGAACGAAGGTTGGTTAGTACGAAACAATATCCAAAGTCTATAGTCCAACGGTATGTACCGGGTCAGCTTATCTGGACTGCTCACGCTGACTCTCTCTCTCTGACGCTCCCCCACTCTCTCTCCAGAGCTGACTTATATAAGAGGGACCAGTCCATTACTAGTTAGAAGGTGGGTGCGCCCCAACAGCCTGTCGCCTGGTTCACACTCCTTCCCAATCTTTTCAACCTTGGTAGAGGTTTATCCCGTTTTTCCTGTTTAGGATTGGGCTTCTGGTTCCTTTTAAAGTCTTTTCTTTCTCTTCCACTTCCGGTGACCCCGGTACGTCCTGGTGGCATTATTACCCTGCATGGAGTTGTGTCACTTACTCCTTAACCTTTCACTTTGAGTGGATCTTGTGCCTTGTACAGGGTGAATCTTATTGTAAAAAAAAAGCCCTCTCTTCTGTCTATTGCTAGTTCAATCATAAGATCTTATAGCGACAAGATGGTATTCATTAAATTGCCGGGGAAAGAAATTTCCCTGGGCAAACTGATTTCTTACTTTCAACTAAACCACGTGGCGCATCACTCACACACATACGCACTCATATTCTATAACCACAATTTCTCTTCTTTTCTTTTGTGAACCTTTTGTTCAACGCATGTGTTGAATTCGCTTATTTTGAAAGTTCTCAACCAAGGTCATTAGAATTGGTAAAAATCCTTTTCCGTAACGAGAAAGGATTGAAATGACTGCCATAGAGCAATTTTATGGGGCTGGGCTTTCAGGAGGTCCAAGGCGGCGTAATGCTAATCGGCATGATCAGATGAATTTATCTCTTTTACACACAAGTTATGGGTAAAAGAGTAGGGCAGACTAAGCTCTTTAGCCTTTTTAGGGAAACCCGTCGACAAGAATGAAATTGAATTGAACACCGCCCTAAAGAAGAACGCGCTTCATCATCTTACCATACCCACTGCCACAGCGGCTATACTAGATACAATGCGCAGTGAGCCTATACATTCACCTAATACGTGGGTCGAGAGCCACTCATGCTAGAATGAGGTGTGTGACATGAATGTCAATGAGGATTATCAATATGAAGAGGATAGATAGTAATTGAACTTTGACCTAAAGAGGTTAAGATTGTACTGTTCGGGGAAGCATTCTTGTGGGAGACTCTTTAACAAAATAGCAGTTTTTGAGAAAAAGCTGTCTGCGTAGAATTTTCTCGTTACAAATGGAATACGGGGGGAACGTGGATGATTCAACTTCATAGAGTAGCGATAGGCTTGCAATGTTGCTTCTTTTGAAAAGAGGCTGCAGATTGGAGAATAAGTTTTCTTATCAAAAGACTGTAAATGTCCTGGTTGTAAAAGTCTGAACTGGTGGAACTAAAGAATGGAGCTCATCGAAACATTTGCCATGGAAATATCGATGGAAATATCAACTTTGCGTCTGTGTGGGAAAGATTAGAAACACGTGACGCAGGTATAATTTCAGATCATTTCTACTGACCCTGACGCTTTGTTCCTACTGCGACCTTAAGCTATACAAAGGGAGCTAACTCAAATACGCAAATTACAAACCACTCTACTACTCAGAAGAAAGCAATGAACGCTAATGTGATAAATATCTTCATTATAATCAGAGTTGTTCTCTTGTCGTGAGTGCCTATTAATTGAGGGCAGTCCTCTCAAAGAGGGATGTGCGGGTGGTGTAACTGATCGGAATGGGGTTTAGGGTTAGGATTCATTACATTCATTTATGCGAAAATATGAATACATCTCTTCTCTCCCCTGAATTGAAAGCATAACAGACTAGGTTCTATAGCCTTGGATGGCAAACAGTCTACCGCTGAAAGAAACGGCAACTTACCACAGGAAAATCTTTTACCAGTAAGTCATGAATCGAAAGAGAGATGGTCGTCCATGCGTGTATTGCGTAAGGCACTTAACCGAGTCTCAAATAAGGGGTTTCTTGACTCAAAATGTTGATTCGAAGAATCTTTTGTACTGAGCCTTCTAGTCGTTTCGCATTGCCTGGATTTAGCAAAGAAAATTCTTCTCTATTTATTGTATCAAATCGGCTCACGGAACTAAATCGAACAATTTGATTTTGCAATGTTGTTCAGCAAGTCGCTTCTTAGAGATCCAAGTGCAGCTGAAAAGGAAAAGTTGTCAAATGAAAAACACTACCATGACAAATACACTGTAGGAAAAGATATTTTGTCTTTATTTCATTGTGATAAGAACCGGTTGTTTAAAAACACTGATCAACGTTTACCTGAAACTAACTAATAGCTAACTTCTCGTATTCGAGTATTCCTGTCTATTAGGACAGCTAGCCAATCCCTGTTGCAGACGCCTGCTCAGGAACATTTATGTGTGTTCAACATCCACAGATCCCAACTTTAGTTTATATTGCAATTATGCTGAGCGGACCATTACAGTTTCTTGGAAAGAACGCATTATTTGACGTGTTCAGCATTTGTAACAAGGCCAGTACGCTAAAACCCTCGGTCACGATGACTTGTTACTTTATGCTTGCACAAACGGCTTCTAAACAGTTCCGTCTACCCAATTTCACTCAAAAGGCTTGGATCCAATAACATCAACAAGTTACCTTCCTGACAAATCGACCATAGTGAGATTCGAATCTCACAGGTCTTATGGCCGGAAAGCAAATGTTCTAACCACTAGGCCAGACGCTTATGTTTACCTGTTGGCTTAAGTATAAATCCAACCGATGTTTACCTATAGCCTCAAGTATATCTGGAGCACAAAACAAATACATTGTGTAGAAAAATATACCTTGCGTTTTTATTTCCGAGGGTGAAGAATTGCTTGTTTAAAATATGAAACAGCTGGCGAAGATTATGAAACACTGGACAGCAAAGTATTTTTTTTCTTTTGTTGTTGTTTCTTAATGCCGGATCAACTGACCGGAACGAACTGAATCTAGCCAACAAAGATAACCACACTTGACTGAATGTTATAGACTGCTGCTCAAACATATTTTTGTTTGTTTGCTTGCTTTCCTCTTCTTCGATATGAGACCCTTGATCAAATAGTCAAGCAGAGCATTCATCATTTTATTCAGTTAGTACATTTGAGCCACTCCTCTCTGTCTCACAATTGTTGCTCATACTATTCAAGTCAAAATAGTGAAAATGGCTTCCCAGTTTCTTTTACACCGGGGATGTTGAGGTTACCCCCGTACACCCCCCTCAAAAGTTAGAGAGGCAGACCTGCAAGGTAGCAGGTTGTTTGACTGGTTGCCAACTAAGTATATAGAGTCCAGTCTATCCTGTTATTTTACCCATAGCTGTGGAGGAGAGATGGAGCCATACCTTTCTCAGGTGTATT